TAAGCTAAAGAATATATATATATATAAATAAATATCATAAGAATAGGTTTTTTATCAATATCAATACATTTTTAGGTCAATTTACCGAATCACTATGTCAGCAGGCGTAGTCTACCGGATTTGTCTATGACACAGACACAGACAAACGAATACATTAACGACTTAACCGTATCTGTTTTAGAAAAAATTGAAAACTTCCAAAGGAAGTTTGCCATATGACTGAAGGCTGAATCAATAACTGTTTACCTAACTGTATATTTGTCTAATAAAGAAATTAAATAATAGAAACGTGGTTTTTTACTTACATATATCGTAACAAATATCATTAATTGTTTTCGACTTTATACTAAGAATATGGGCGAATAGACCTGAAATCAAAAGCCTACGTGGTAGGTTATATGAATTTGGAAAATATTTTACCTTTTTGTAGTTTTCGGCCAGCTACATTTACATACATATTTATTTTAATGAACATAAATAAAGAATGAGTTAAATTTTTTACAAACATTATTAAAATTATTATTCAGAATTATGCATTTAGTTGAAGTAATTATGTGTGTACTAGTGTCCCACCCAAGGCCTATTCGGCTCATTTTTATCTTCGGGCTTCGGGCGAAAATGCCGAAAAATTAGGCAATTCACAAGGTGTTGTATTTGTCACGAAGTTATATTATTTTACGACAGTTGTTAAAATTTTGTTGTTGTTTCGCATCTCTGCATAACACTTTTGAAAATGTAAGAACTTTACGTTTTGCTGTGATTTTGTAGAAACATTGGCGCTATTTGGAAGTTTTTCAACAGACAAAAAGTCAACTGCGATTTGCAATGTGTGCCAGAAAAAACTTTCAAAATTTCATCAATTAAGAAAAAATAAAACTTTATCCCACATCTACACGCTATAAGGTCTTTAATTGGACCTCTAATTTTTAAAATTCCTTTTTAAAAGTATTCTCAAACTAAAATCTTCTTAATTTGTTCGTACACATGGCAACCCTCCTAAATAAAGGTTAGAAATAAAGCGTTTTCAAACCCATTTCGACCGATACCCACCATTTTTAAGTAATTTATCCAACTTTTTGAATATTTTGAATGTAACTTCTTAAACACGTGGCAACCCTCTTCAAACATTCAAAAAATTCAAACTAAAGATTTCTTAACATTATTTTGTTTGATTATGGTATTTTTATATTTCATATACTCTTTGTATTAGTTAATTGAAATAGACCTTTCAAACAGATGGCAGCCCTCTTCAAAAGTATTTTCAAGCTTAAGCCTTGTTAACTCTCCTTCGTCGGATATTGCGGTACATATTTTAATTAACTTATGAATTAAGTGGAACTTGCATGACTTTTCAAACATGTGGCAACCCCGTTAAATATGGTTCAGAAATAAAGAATTTTCAAACCCCCTTCGATTCGTAACCATATTTAAATAATTCTTTTAACTTATTAAACAATTTGAATTTAACTTTTTGAATAGGTGGTAACCCTCTTCCAACACCTCTAAAATATGCGTTCAAACTAAGGATTTCTTACCCGTATAGTTCAGTTAAGAAACAAAGCTTTTCAAAACCATTTCGATTGATACCCATTTTGTGATAAGTGATTTATTTTTTTTAAATAATTTGAATATAATTTTTTGAAGGGTGAGAACTTTTTTCAAGAAAGTCAAACCTTATTACACATCTGCAGTCCAAGCCTTTTAATGTGACACCTCAACTTGTTACGAAATAAAAAATCACAGATTAAATATTTTTGAAACGTAAAACAGAATTTGAATGTTCGGCTTCGGCTTCGGTGTTCAGCCGAATATTGAATAGTACCTAATATTGGGCTTCGGCTTCTGCCAAGCTTCGGTTGAGATGATTTTTCCGAAATATTTTGGTGCAAGTCTTAAAATACAATAATTCCAATGGGGAGTGAGGCAATCTAATGAATATAATTCGTATTGCTTAAATACTGTTTTTTATGTTTAATAAATATTGTAGCTAAGATTTCTGAATTCGTTTCATACATCACCGTCTCAGTTAACTCTGCATCGTCATCAGCCTCTAGCTTTATTTTGGATGCCCTTATTGAGTGGATTTGTGTTTCCTCTCCGGATGATTCAACATTTTCATCGAGTATGTCTACCCTTATCTCATCTGAACACCTCAACCAACCCTAGAGACTACAAATTTTTGAATAGATCCCGGGAGTTGTGAGTATGTTCTCCTCTCTTGGCCATAAGCGATCTATGCCGTGTAATGATTCTTAGTTTCTCCTTAAGGAGACCCATGAGTAGCCTATATCTTTTCAGATTGTACTCTCCTATTAATCCATGCTGTTACATCCTTGTAGTTCCCTTAGTTTGATATTCTCTTTCTGAGCATTTTAAGGGCTCAGGTCCTATCGAGGTTGAGGCAACGGCCGTTCTGGCCAACTGATCCGCCTCTTTATTTCCCATGTGATCTGGTGCCCACAACCATTGGAAATCATTGTCTTCAGCGAGAGTATTATGCCTATCTAAATACTACGAAACCAAGGACTTGATCTCAAAGCATGATAGAGCTTGAAGAGCCGCCTGACTATCGCTTGCAATCAGTATCCTCTCGCTTCGATAATTCCTTCGAATTTTAATCTCAGCACACCGACTGATGGCATAGACCTCCGCTTGAAAAATGCTTGGGAAGGTTCCCAAGGGCACCGAAAGCTGCTCGCTATTCCTAGATGATAACACCTTGCCTTTGTCAAAACCCTCCCCCGCAAAATTAAGGTGGGTTGGCTTTGCAGCCTTTTCTACTGAAAGATGCAGTGGCTCACGTTCCAGGATTACCTCCAGCGCTGCCGTCGGGCATCAACATAATCATGCGCTTACCCTTGGTAGCTGACGCCCCCAGTTGCGGCCAACCTTTTGATGTTTGTATTTGAAACACGCTTTCGACGCATTCCTGGTCTGAACTAGGCTAGCTATCCATCTGAGGATGGTTGGCTGAATATTATGCTTCTCAAATCCTCTATTGACTCCCAAATGGTCTAAAGCCCCTCAATGTCGAGGAAAGCACAGAGCACTTTTATTTCTGTGGTCAGGGCATACAGCGCGGTGTCCCTGAATCTGCTCACTCTCTATCCGTGCTGGTCCGAATGCAAGGGAGCCTGTTTCAGAGTTTAGACTTAATGTGTTGCTCGATAATTTCCTCCATTGTCTTTAACATAAAGGAGGCGAGATTTATCTGCAGGAATGACTTGGCTAGAGAGTAATCTCTCTTACTTAACTTCGGGGTAAGAATACCCCGGGCTCTCTGCCACACCGCGGGAATGTGGGCCAGTGCTAGACTCTCTCCTGATATCTACAAAATGTAGAAGTAGGAGCTCCGTGTCCTGATTCAACAACACTGGACAGATGCCATCTACCCCGGGATCCTTGTACCGTTTGAAGGCGTTCAGCGCCCACCGCACTGATTGCCGGTTTATAAGGTTTTTAGCCAGCTTCAGGAGTGGATGCTGTGCGTTGGCGTTGTCCCCTGGAAAATAGGCTGCGGCCAAGACTACCTCCGTTTCGCTACCAGATGCTGTGTAAGAAACTCCGTAACGCAGAAATAATTCATACTTCTCGTCAACACTACACACGCTTTGGGCCTCTAACGGGAGAGGTCCCAAATTACCTTATTATTGTTGTGATTTAGACCCCTAACCTAGTCTCTGTAAGTCCACGGTTCCCGTGTCAGTAGAATTCCCAGGTCCTCCATGACAAATCTACTTGCAATGACCGGGATAAATGGGCTACTGCTGTCTGGTATACTCATAATTGAGACTCGTCGTCGATATCGGACAGGTGTAAAACACTCTCGCTTCTTCTAGAGTTCGAGCCTGCCAATGTCCTCTAGCGGTACGCACGTAGTTTTTGTTGTTGTTACAGCATACAAATTCCGCACAGAGTTTTTGGGGTGTGATGCTGGGGAGACCGTCCTTGGCCAGATATAAATCTGGGCCATTCTGGTTAGGTAAACCCGACTGTCGTGGAAACGTGCGCACGTAGTCGACCCGGTTTGTGGTAGCGCCTGGCACGGCTGCGCTCGCAGGAGCTGATACCTGTGCTTTTTCGGGTTACTGGTTTGTCTGTGGGGCCGTGACGGACTCTGTCGCTAGTGCAGCAGTGGAGTCGGTAGCCGCGTCAACTTGCATATCTTGCGACTCTGACTCCTTGCTACCTGCCGTCATTGCTGTCACTGCCTCATCGTGACATACATAGCTGTACCGGAAGTTTAAATTGAAGCCGGCCCTTTGGATGCTTACATATGGCGCTTCGTCGATATCCGTATTGAGTCTGAGAATGTTATCTTAACAAATATCATTTCTTGTTTTTAACTTTAAACTAAGCACGTTGTAGAACTGGACTGAAATCAAAAGCTATAGTGGTAGGTTGTATGAATCCACTAAATATTTTAGTTTTATTGTAGTTTTCAAGAAGCTACACATATACATATTTAAAGAACATAAATGATGAATGAATTAAATTTTATACAAACGTTAGTAAAATTACTAGACAGTTACATTAATTATAAAACATTCAATCGCAATATCAAAGATAGCACTAATGTATTGGAAATGCAATACATTCACTATTGGAAACGAAACATTTTGAGCAGTTGGCTATTTTTCTTTTGTTTATTTAATGTTTTTTAATTGGCTGTAGAATGTACTAGGGATGTTTCGAATGTCATATTTTTCGCATTCGCTAATGCAAATGTGCCAATGCGAATGTTAGGAATAACACTAAAAAAGCTATAGATAATGAACTTAAGTCATCGTTTTTATTTCTTAAAAATTTTGTATATTACAAAGAACATTGAATGACCTATACAGTGTTTTAATCTAGTAGCTAAAGTTCAAAAGGGGCATATTATATTTAAAAAAAATTAATTTCGCTGCCTTTTTTCCCACGAGGTCGTTGTTGTTGTTGTTGTAGCAGCATACAAATTCCCCAAAGACTTTTTGGGGAGTGTTGCTGGAGTGACAGTCCTTGGCCAGATATAAATCTGGGTCGTTCCGGTTACGTAGACCCGACTGTCGTGGGAACGCCCACGAGGTCGTATTTTAGTTTAGTTTTCCACCAGTCGAGAGGATTTTCGCCCAGATGAGCTCGTTTTTCTTTAAGATAGGCCTTCAATTGAGCATTAATTTCACACTTTTTAATGTCTCCAGATTCTACATCCAAGCATTCACTTTCGCTGGAGGTATCTAAAATTATGTCTAGGTTGCCTATAAGACTTTTAGCAGTACTTGTTGAAGGCCTGAAATCGGAAATTCACATTTCAACCTTTCTACAAACATTCAATAAACTTTCGCCAAAACTTCACTTTTTATTCAGAGTTTGAGAAAAATTAAAGTAATGTCTGTTTTTTGAGGTATAGTTAAATCATTAGTTTAACTTAACTACTGGAATTTCTAAAGAGCCTCTGTATGTTAAAATTTAATGGGCCTTTATATTATGCATTTTTGAAGCGGTTAGGAATTCGCGGTTTATAATCATTTCTTTAATCAAAATGAAAAATCTAATCAACGCGAATTCGTAGCCGCTTCATATATACATTCTGGTTAAAACGTTTGAAGTTTTGGTGAAAATTTGTGGAATTTTTATACAAATCTTGAAATGTGGAATTACAAGGCGTTTATTATGCATATATAAACTGGACTTTAATAAGAAATTAATAAACATTACATGAACCAAAGAAAGATAACCAAAACCGGTCAAAATGTCGGATTGCTTTTTTCCAATTGTGTATGTGTGTAATAGATACAGGTTGCAACAGTCATTATTCTGCTCTAACCCAGTTTTATAACCTTTAAATGAATTTCAAACCAAATTTAAAGCATTCGATTTTCTTTTTGTTAACTCGTATTGCATTAAAAACGGTTTTTTATGTTTAAGAAATATTGTTACTTATATTTCACCAATTATTTCATATACCACCGTCACTTCACTATCGGCATCATCATCCTCCATCATGTCCTCCTGCAACTCAATAAACTCTGCATCGTCATCAGCCTCTAGCTGTATTTTGGATGCCACTATTGACTGAGTTTGTGTTTCATCTTCGAATGATTCAATACTTTCATCGAGATATTCTTCATTTGTTTGTTTCGGGGTCTCAGTACGTTTTTCGCGTTCCTCCGCTGCAATTAACAGTTGCCTCATGTGTATCGGCAAACCGCCATGATGACGCTGAACCATTCGGGGATTTTCTACGACACTTGTGCTGAGATGTTAAAGAAAAAATGAGGAAATTTGATTTACAGAATTTTATTTGACTAGTGCAAAAAATTACCTCGACCGCAGTTCTTCAAGTTTGGGCACACTAACGGCTTCCGATTTCTTCCCCATTGCCTCTTCTTCGGCTAATTCCTGTGCGTGCATCTTCTTTTTATGAGAACGACAGTTGGAACCATTTGAAAAAGTTTTCTCGCAAAAGTTGCATTTGTACGGCCGCATACCAGTGTGTAAAATCAGGTGATTTTTTAAAGCCTTAGCCCGCTTAAAAGCCGTTGGACAGAAGTCACATTTGTAACGTTTGGCATCCGAATGAACAATCATATGCATTTTCAGCGTGCGGCGCGTATTTAGGCTTAGACCACACTCAGGACAAATGAATGAGGAGAGCGTATGTGTCTCCAAGTGTACCTGTGTAATCAGGTATAAAGTGAATGTAAAAATAAATTGACCAAAATAAATTTACAACTTACCTTCAATCGAGCTTTAGTCTTGAATGCTTTTTGACACACCTCACATTCGTACGGTGTGTCGTCGGTATGAACTAGTTTGTGTTCACTTAATGCGGCCAATGTTTTCATAGATCGCCCACACTCCTCACACACGTAGGGCTTCTTGTTTTCGTGTATGCCCTGTACATGTTGACGCATCACTGCTACTTTAGTAAATTTTCGATCACAATAGGGGCACGGTATATCAAGTTTATCCTCAAGTGCTAGATGCGATCGCGCATGTAATTCTAATTGTCGCTGTGTTGGGTATATTTTATCGCAAGTTTCACATTTGAAATCCGGGATGTCTGGCTCCATGTTATGCTTTTCCGACGTATGTTTGCGATAAGATGTTGGATTTTTATATTTTTTGTGACATATGTTGCATTCATATTTAAAGGATGTTTGGCAATTGTCATTTGTATCTTCTTCGGAATTTGGATCAGTTTTCCCATTTTCTTTTATATCATCCATGTCGTAATTTGGTGGCCTACCACGTCGTTTCTTACGTGTCCGACTACTTGAATCAATACTATGGGCTGGAGCCGATTGATCGCCACTGCTAGAATCATTATTTGAATCGTAGGTTTCAACAACTTCTTGTATATTTTCATTATTTTCTTCAATTATTTCCTTAGCTTTTTTTTCTTTTACCGCCTTATTTTTTTGTTGCTCTGTATTTGCATCGTGATCGCCTTCCTCCCCTCTTAGTTGTCGAAGCAATTCAGCATCGTCTAACCCTTCTTCGGTTGTGTTCTTTTCAAACAAAATGTGCTCTTCGGCTTCCTCCTCAGAATCACCGATTATTGTGCCTATCGGTATTATATATTCTTCTCCGTCATTATCACTACCTACATTTCGTTTTCTTTTCAAACCTCGATTTATACGCTCAAAGGAAAGTTTTTCTGATACCTTTGATTCGTCGTTTTTTTGAAATTCAAGCTCTTCTTCCTTACTATATATTCCTTCTGATTCCCATTCACATTCATCACCTAAACCTTTATCGTCATTAATTTCTTTCTCCTCAGCAGCGCGTTCCAGCTTAATTATATGGTCCCACTCCATATCGAGCAACCCATATTGTAATTTTACTTCATTAAGGTCCATTGTATTATTAGAATTTGAATTTTGCAGTGCGCAAAACATGGCTTGCACTTTGTTAACACGTTCAGTAAACTGTGTCAGTGAACAAACCAGCGTGTGACATTCAAGGCAAACAAATTTTGATATTTCATCATTTGGTCTAATCTGCAAAAGTAGAAAAAGGTCGTAACTATATGCCTATATGCACATGCTTTCTTTACATACATTGACCCAAAAAAAACTTTCCAATAGCAGTCGCCAAAGTGGTATCCATTACACTTCCTGGTTCTGCTATTTCAGGAAAGATATTTAAATTGCTTTCGTCTTCTTTAGAGCACAAACGGCACCAATGCTTCCAAGCTATGTTCCCATTATCGGTTGCGGTATTCTCCGAGCCCAACGCCGCAGCCGAGACTTTCTGAGATTGTTTGGATGTAAGCATTATAAACAATTCTGCCCGCTTGTTTTATGCTCAAAAATTCCACATATAAAATGTCAAATTTATAATGGCTAATGTAATTTGTTTGCAAAGTTATATTTTTTTAATCACGAAAAATCCAAGCTATTAGCTGTCAAACAGATGTCAAATGCGGAGATACAGGGTTGCCTTTGAATACCGTAAAATATTCGATTCTTTATTAACTGGCCGGCCACAGGTGCATGCGCTAGTAATATTAGGTTTACATATAAGTAGATTATCTCTTTTTCGAGCTGAACTCCGTAATCTGTAATTAGATAAAGAGATTAACCATACAAAGTTCGTCATATGTAATTATAAAATAACCATAGATTAAGGGCCGGTTGTTCAATGTCTGGTTAGCACTTATCTCCGGTTAAACATTGTTATCGACGTATTCGACTCCATTCATATAACAAGGAGTCGGTAACGTCGATAAAGATGTTTAACCAGACGTTAGTGTTAACCAGACTTTGAGTAACCGCCTCTAAACCGATAAATTTTCCGTTTCCGACCTAGTTTTATCAAAGAACGTAGATAACAAGAAGGGACAACTCGTAGATAAGTAGATTATCTCTTTTTCGAGCTGAACTCCGTAATCTGTAATTAGATAAAGAGATTAACCATACAATATTCGTCATATGTAATTATAAAATAATCATAGATTAAACCGAGAAATTTTCCGCGTCCGACCTAGTTTTATCAAAGAACGTAGATAACAAGAATGGACAACTCGTTATAATTGTGGCGAAAGTGCGCAACAGGGGCGTGCCTTCTCTTTTGCCCTAGTGCGTTTTTTGATTGAATTAAAAGAGAAGGTACGCCCCTGTTGCGCACTTTCGCCACAATTATAACGAGTTGTCCCTTCTTGATATCTACGTTCTTTGCTTATACGTGAAAATGAAAAAAATCAAATTTGCAACTCTTCCGCTTCTACCAGTTTAATATGCCTTGCATTCATGAAAATATACGAACGAACATTCCCTTAAAAGGTGTTCGCCCGAGCCGATTTTGCTTTCAACTCACGCAGGGTTGCACGAAAAAAAGTTGAATGGCTAACTTAGGGTCTACACCGGACAATACTGTCATGACAATAGCAATACTTGCACATTTTTTCACTAATACATGCATACATTTCCATACATTGCGTTTTTGACAACTAATACGTATTTCTTTATTTTCATAATGCACGTGCAACCCTGTGCGAGTTGAACGCAAGTTGCCTGAAAAATCGCCTCATGCGAAAGCCCCATAAAGAATCGAATATTTTACGGTATTCAAAGGCAACCCTGTATCTCCGCATTTGACGTCTGTTTGACAGCAAATTGCTTGGATTTTTCGTTATTAAAAAAAAAAATTACTTTGCAAACAAATCACATTAGCCATTATAAATATGACATTTTATATGTGGAAATTTTGAGCATAAAACAAGCAGGCAGAATTGTTTATAATGCTTACATCCAAACAATCTCAGAAAGTCTCTGCTGCGGCGTTGGGCTCGGAGAATACCGCAACAGATAATGGGAACATAGCTTGGAAGCATTGGTGCCGTTTGTGCTCTAAAGAAGACGAAAGCAATTTAAATATCTTTCCTGAAATAACAGAACCCGGAAGTGTAATGGATACCACTTTGGCGACGGCTATTGGAAAGTTTTTTTGGGTCAATGTAAAGAAAGCATTTGCATATAGGCATATAGTTACGACCTTTTTCTACTTTTGCAGATTAGGCCAAATGATGAAATATCAAAATTTGTTTGCCTCGAATGTCACACGCTGGTTTGTTCATTGACGCAGTTTACTGATCGTGTTAACAAAGTGCAAGCCATGTTTTGCGCACTGCAAAATTCAAATTCTAATAATACAATGGACCTTAATGAAGTAAAATTACAATATGGGTTGCTCGATATGGAGTGGGGCCATATAATTAAGCTAGAACGTGCTACTGAGGAGAAAGAAATGAATGACGGTAAAGGTTTAGGTGATGAATGTGACTGGGAAGCAGAAGGGAACGACAGTAAGGAAGAAGAGCTTAAATTTCAAACAAACGACGAGTCAAAGGTATCGGAAAAACTTTCCTTAGATCTTATAAATGGAGGTTTGAAAAGAAAACGAGATATAGGTAGTGATAATGACGGAGAGGAACATATAACACCGATAGGCGCAATAATCGGAGTTTCTGAGGAGAAAATCGAGGAGCACATTTTGTTTGAAAAGAATACAACCGAAGAAGGGTTAGACGATGCTGAATCGCTTCGACAACTAAAAGTGGAGGAAGGCGATCACGATGAAAATACAGAGCAAAAAAATAGGGCGGAAAGAGAAAAAACAGCTAACGAAATAATTGAAGAAAATAATGAAAGTTTACAAGAAGGTGAAACCTACGATTCAAATAATGATTTTACCAGTGGCGAACAATCGGCACAAGTCAATAGAATTGATTCAAGTAGTCGGACACTTAAAAAACGGCGTGGTAGGCCACCAAGTTCCGATATGGATGATATAAAAGAAAATGGGAAAACTGACCGAAATTCCGAAGAAGATACAAATGACAATTGCCAAACATCCTTTAAATATGAATGCAACATATGTCACAAAAAATATAAAAATCCAACATCTTATCGGAAACATACATTGGAAAAGCATAACATGGAGCCAGACATCCCCGATTTCAAATGTGAACGTTGCAAAAAAATATACCCAACAGAACGACAATTAGAATTACATGCGCGAACGCATCTAGCACTTCAGGATAAAGTATCCGTGATGCGTCAACATCCACAGGGCATACACGAAAAAAAGAAACCCTACGTGTGTGAAGTGTGGGGGCGATCTATGAAAACATTGGCCGCATTAAGTGAACACAAACTAGTTCATACCAACGACACACCGTACGAATGTGAGGTGTGTCAAAAAGCATTCAAGACTAAAGCTCGATTGAGGGTAACAAAAATTGTACATTTATTTTGCTCCATTTATTTGTATATTTACTTTATACCCAAACAGGTACATTTAGAAACCCATACACTCTCCTCGTACCTTTGTTCTGAGTGTGGTCTAAGTCTAAATACGCGTCGCACGCTGCAAATGCATATGATTGTTCATTCGGATGCAAAACGTTACAAATGTGACTTCTGTCCAACGGCTTTTAAGCGGGCTAAGGCTTTAAAAAATCACCTGATTTTACACACTGGTATGCGGCCGTACAAATGTAACTTTTGCGAGAAAACTTTTTCAAATGGTTCCAACTGTCGTTCCCATAAAAAGAATTTGCACGCACAAGAATTGGCCGAAGAAGAAGCAGTGGGAAAGAAAACGGAAGCCGTTACTGTGCCCGAACTTGAAGAACTGCGGTCGAGGTATATTTATGTACTAGTCAAATAAATAATATATAAATCTAATTTGCTCATTTTGTCTTTAACATCTCAGCACAAATGTCGTAGAACTGTTAATTGCAGCATGGGAACGCGTAAAGCGTACTGAGACTGAGACCACTAAACAAAGAAATGAAGAATATCTCGATGAAAATATTGAATCATTCGAAGAGGAAACACAAACTCAGTCAATAGTGGCATCCAAAATAGAGATAGCGGCTGATGACGATGCAGACTTAATTCAGTTGCAGGAGGGCATGATGGAAGATGGTGATGCAGATAGTGAAGTGATGGTGGTATATGAAACAATTACTGAAATCTAAGTAACAATATTTCTTAAACATAAAAAATAGTTTTTAATGCAATATGAATTAACAAAAAAAAAAAATCTAATGCTTTAAATTTAGTCTGAAATTCAATTAAATGCCATAAAACTGGGTTAGAGCAGAATTGTGGCTGTTGCAACCCGTATCTAATACAAACAAACAATTGGAAAAAATAGCAATCCGACATTTTGACCGGTTTCGGCTCTTTCTTTGTTCATTTAATGTTTATTAATTTCTTTTTTAAAAACCAGCTTATATATCGTCATTTAAAGTTCAAAGCCACGTATCGTTCTCCGCAAAACAGCGTAACTGACATTTTTTGCCAAAAATTGGATTTGCTCACACAAGCTCTTGGCTCAAGCCTTATAGCTCAGTTATGCATACTTAGCGTCGCATGAGAATTGTCACATAAGGAATCTGTTAAATTTACTTTAAAGGCTCTGTTATACATACTTCGCAAAGCTTGAGTGTTGTCATATAAGGAATCTGTTGAATGAGCTTCGCATGTAAGCGGTTACTCAACGCACAGCATTACATACGTAGAAGTCTGTTGGTTTTTGATTTCTACGTAAAAATGGTATAGCTGAGCATGCAATGCCAAGTATGCCCAGCTATGCATACTTGCACTGCTATATCATTTTTACGTAAAAATCAAAACCCAACAGAATTCTACATGTTAAGTGCTATGCGTTGAGTAACCGCTTGCACGCAAAGCTCATTTAAGAGATTTTTAACCGTTCGTCCTGAAATATACCCAGAAATTCGCCAGAAATGCGATTGCTTTATAAAAAAGAGAAGCATTTTGAACTAAGGGCCGGTTGTTCAATGTCTGGTTATCACTACCACTGCACTATCGACGATTTCGACATCATGCATATAACATGTTATCGATAAAGCTGTCGTATTAACCGGAGCTTCTGCCTCCGGTTGGTGGTAATCTGGTTAACACTAATCTCCGGTTAAACATGGTTATAACATATGATCGATAAAGCAGTTAACGTGCTTAACTGAAGGATGTACCTCCAGTTAGCGTTAACTAGACATGGTGCAAACGGCCCTAAATAGGATATATGAGTGACTTTAATGCGATATAAAACTGTTATATACAATTTATACATTTTGAGAAATAATTCAATTTAATTTAAAAAAAAGTTACACAATATTTTAAATAAACATATGATTTTTTAAAAATTGCCTTATCAAATATATTTAAAAATTTTGTAATTCAATAGTATATAAAACAGGCTTTCATTTGGTATACATCATGTCTTTAGTCCATGCTATACAGTGTGGGGGCAGAACTTCTTTATGCGTAGGCGGCCTTCGACCGCGCTTGGGGATTATAACCTTTTTATCGGAGTTGTTATCGTTATTTTCATCGAATTTGTTATAGATTTTATTATCAATATTTTTATCGATTTTGTTATCGATATTTTGATCAATTTTCTAA